CACATACAATCGGCCGGGCCACAATATCATTGACCATTGGACGTATGTATTTTGTGGTGACGGTTGTCTAATGGAGGGTATCGGTCAAGAGTCCCTTTCTCTTGCCGGCCATCTTGGGCTTGAAAAGTTTGTGTTGGTGTATGACTCGAATCACATCAGCATCGACGGAAGTACCGACCTCGCCTTCACCGAGCAACCGAAACAAAAGTACGAGTCTATGGGGTTCCACGTCATCATGGTGGATAATGGTGATACGGGCTTTGATGCAATTCGAAAAGCCTTTGAGGACTGCAAGAAGGTGAAGGGAAAGCCAAAGTTGATTGTTCTCAACACAACAATTGGCTTCGGTTCGGGACTAGCGGGTACTGAAAAGGTTCATGGTGCCCCTCTTGGTGATAGTGACATTCAGCAGTTGAAACAGCGCTTTGGTCGCGATCCTTCAAAGAAGTTTTACGTCGAGGAGGAAGTGTATGATGTTTTCAAGCAGCATGTTGCCGTCTGCGAGCAGAAGCATGAGGCGTGGAAAGCGGCGATGAAGAAGTATGCTGCTGAATTCCCCAAGGAGGCCGCAGCACTGGAGGCACAATTAAAGGGTGTGCTTCCCTCTGGATGGAAATCGCAGTTGCCGCTGAACGATGCCTCGAAGATTGCCACACGCAAAGCCAGCGAGAACACTCTGGGGACGCTCTTTTCTAACATCTCGGGACTCATTGGTGGATCTTCGGACCTCACAACAAGCAATCTCACACGTCCGAATTCGGCTGCTTTGACTGACTTCCAGAAAGCCACTCCACAGGGTCGTTACATTCGTTTTGGTGTTCGCGAGCATGCCATGTGTGCCATTATGAACGGTATCCACGCCCATGGTGGGTTTATTCCCTTCGGTGGAACATTCCTTAACTTTTTTGGCTACGCGCTTGGTGCTGTTCGCCTCTCCTCCCTGAGTCATCACCAAGTTGTTTTTGTGGCGACTCACGACAGCATCGGTCTTGGCGAAGATGGTCCAACGCATCAGCCGGTGGAACTCCTTGCATTCCTGCGTGCTATGCCAAACTTGCTGGTGTTTCGTCCGAGTGATCAAACAGAAACGAGTGCGGCATGGGCATTGGCGCTTGAAAACGCGAAGGGACCATCTATTATATGTCTCAGCCGTCAGAATACAGTGCCTCAATCGGCTTCCTCCATGGATGGTGTTGCAAAGGGTGCGTACGTGATTCATTCCGCCGATAAGCCGCAGCTCGTTCTTGTCTCCAGTGGCTCGGAGGTTTCTCTTGCGGTTGATGCCGCGAAGGCGCTTGCAGCAGAGCTAAGAGTGGCAGTTGTTTCAATGCCATGCCAAGAGCTCTTTGATCAGCAGTCCGTTGACTACCAGAAAACAGTATTCCCCGACGGCGTTCCCGTGCTTTCCATTGAACCGTATGTCAATTACGGCTGGGAGAAGTATTCACACTACCATGTTGGCATGTCGGGCTTTGGCGCCTCTGCCCCAGGAGGGGAACTGTACAAGCAATTCAACATCACCACGGAGCACGTCGCTGCGATGGGCCGGAAGTTGGCCGCCAAGTACCCCAACGGCAATGCCCCAGAAAAGCGTGTGCATTTGTGAGGCAATGTGTCTAAGCTTACGACCGGAAGGGAAAAGAGGAAAAAATAAATGCGTATTCTAAGGAACAACTCGAAGAAGATGGTAACCAGGCTAGTAACAAGGTTGCGGGCCCCAAAAGTGGGAGCAGAGGCGAGTTAAAAAGGAAAAGGAGAAAAAAAAGATGAAATTCATATTATTGTTTGGGGTAAACTAAAAAAAAAAAGATAAATAAATAAATAAATAACAATAAGAGAAAAGTAATTTTTTTATATTAATTTGAAGCGTGCGAATAGCATGTGCATCTATACAGGACCAAATAAAAGGGCAGGGGCCTTCATCGATCCATCCTGTTTGTTTACAATTTGATGATTGAATTGGTTACCAAAGACACCGCGTTGCAGGATAGCGAGGAGTAGTCGTCTCGTCCATCTCACTCAGCCCCCGACGACGACTACTCTCCACGCAGAGGAAAGTCCGACGGTTGTGGGACCCCGGGAAAAACCTGCCACTTTGCGGGGTTACGGCGAGCCCGGCTATCATGGATTTCTTTGTGACCCAAACTGCCCACCGTTGATGTATGCATGTGGACTCAACCCCTTCTGAAGTGGGAAATGTTGAGCCCATCAAAATAAACTGTGATTTTCTTTTTGTTGTTGTTGTTGTTCCGTGTCTCTTTGTAGGAATAGGAGGAAATGTCTCAGCCAGACGCATATTGTGTTTTCTTGCCCTGTTTCCTTTTTCCCGCTTCTCTATTTTGACCCTTTTCAAATACATTCTCTCGAGGAGTCGTTGTGTTTCACATTTCTCGGTGGGAGTTGCTGAGAAGATTATATATATATATATATGGGTATGTTTTTTTGTGTGTGGAGGAAACAAGGGCGGATGACTCGGTCGGCATTGAGTGGGGTTGCTGGGTTTCTTTTTTTTTTTTGTGTGTGTGTGTGTTTGTGGACGAGCGTTTTCTTTGGGATGTGAACGCGGGTGGGTGGACGGGCGGGTCTTTGGCGTGCTATTTTTAAGGGAATAAGAACTGTTGGTCCGATGCAGAAGCTGGCATAATGGTCTTTGCTCTTTTCTTGGCTTTGCTTTTTTTTTCCGTGTCATTTTGTCATTATTATGCCTTTCTTTTTATCCTCTTGTGCTCCTGCTTTTATTCCGCCCCCTCTTTTTCTTTTTTCTTTTTTCTCTCTCTACTGCCACCCGCAGTCTCAAAGACTTCCGCATGGCCAGCATCAAGTGTGGAAGCCGTCGCAAGGCCCGCCGCGCCCACTTTCAGGCGCCGAGTCATGTGCGCCGCATCCTCATGAGTGCCCCTCTCTCGAAGGAGCTCCGCGCAAAGTACAACGTGCGTGCTATGCCCGTCCGTAAGGACGATGAAGTGCGCGTGAAGCGTGGCGCGTACAAGGGCCGTGAGGGCAAGGTCACGGCGTGTTATCGTCTCCGTTGGGTGATTCACATCGACAAGGTGAACCGTGAGAAGGCGAACGGCACCACCGTCCCTGTTGGGGTGCATCCCTCCAATGTGGAAATCACGAAGCTGAAGCTCAACCACAACCGCAAGGCCATCCTTGAGCGCAAGGACCGCAGCACAAAGAGCGACAAGGGAAAGGGCAAGGTGACCGCCGCCGAGAAGGCCATGCAGCAGATGGACTAAAGAGTAACACGGAAGAGGGAGAAAATTTGGAGTGGGGGGGGCAATGAGGCATACATTTTTTGTTCTTCTTTTGCTGAGTTTTTTTTTTTTTTATGATTATTTTTCACTTTGTTCAAACCCATTTAATTTTGTGCTCAGTGAGGGGAGGCATCCCTGTGTCGCTTTTAGGGCAGTTTGCCTTCTGTCTGACGGTGCGGCAATGAAGTTGCGTGATGATCTCCTCTCTTTTTCTTTTTTTTTTTTTTTTGTTTCTTCTTCTTTCCCTTTAATTGCCAACGAAAGGTACTGCTGCCCCTGTCGCTGCTGTTTGCAGAGGCAGAGAGGATGAATTGCGTTGCGGGCATATCTTACGTGGGAATATCACGTGCTAATGGGATGGACAAATGGTTGATGTAAGCCTCTTCCATTCACGCTTGGTGAAAATGGAACGCTGCGGCAGCGTGGAAGAAATGCGGTTGACACGGTGATCCAATGCCGTGGCTCCCATAGTGTAGCGGTTATCACCTCGGACTCTGAATCCGATAACCCTGGTTCGAGTCCAGGTGGGAGCAACTTTTTTCTCTTATTTATTGGCGTGACTTGTAGATCTCCGTGGATTGTGTCAATTTGGCGCGGCCAGTTGTTGGAGGTTGATATTTTTACGTATTTTTTTTTTTTGTTTTTGTTTTATTATTATTATTATTGTTTGCATCATCGTTGTTATGATTTCTCCCTTTACTTTCCTTGTTTTTTTGTTTGTTTGTTTTTGTTCTTGACCGGCCTTCACATGAACGGTGCGTGCTGCAGTCATTTCTGGAGCAAAAGATGCTGCGTGCTAGTCGACTGTGGAGGACCATCAGGGCGGCCGACATTGAGGCAAAGATCAGAGCCAGCGATATACTTCAGCCGTTGCAGGACGTCAAGGTAGTCGACGCCAGTGGAGGATGTGGGAGTTTCTTCAACATCACAGTGGTGTCGCATGCATTTCGTGATAAACCGTTGGTGCAACAGCATCGCTTGGTGAACGAGGCGCTTAAGGGTGAAATTCCACTGATTCACGGCTTTTCCCTCACCACTAAAGTGGAATAGAAATAATTATTTGTGGATGGATTATATTGCACGGCCTCTCGTCACACGTTACTTCTTCCATTATTTTTCTTTTCTTGTGTGTGTGCGTGGGGGAAAGTCTTTTGTTATTTGTTGTTGATGTTGTTTATCCAGTAACAAAAGGAAAAGAAAAGGGAAAAGAGAGGAGGAGCGATGAGGGTGTTATTTATTTTTCTTTTATTTTCTTTTTTTATCATTATTATTGTTATTTGCCCTGAAGCCATCCTTTTTCTTTTTCTTTTTGTTTTTGTTTCTTTTCTTTCTCTTTTCTCTGTGAAGCGCACAAAAAGGGCTTGAGTGGGTCACGCGAGGATTATTCCCTCACATCCACACGCTGGCATTGTCAGGATGAAACAAGAAGATGAAGAAATGGACCCGGTCGCCACCGCCGCGATGTTGCCTGAAGCAGACGATGTTGATGGTACTTCACCCGCGGAGGGGGCGGAGGACGAAAACGACGATGATTGGGGGCCCGCATTCTTTGAGGAGGAAGATGAGTGTGTGTCACTTCTTGTGCGTTTGCAGGAGGCCTTGCAGCTGCAAGACGACCGTGACGCCACTCTTCCTACTGTCGCTGAAGATCCAAATGGTGTGGCGGCAGCGTTATATCGTCTTGATCGTATCATCGCCCGCTATCAGGAGTCCCCGCATCTGCTGCACGGGTACTTGGAGGTGCTGCTTGGGCCACTTGTGGCGACGTTGCAAGACCTTCTCCCTGCTGCCACGGATATATGGCGCATGGAAGATGGAATTGAGAGACCAGAAGGTGATAATGCGGTGTCGGCGCAGGAGGAACCTGATTACACGCTGGGTGCAAACTATGATGAGTACGATGTGGACGCAGCGAAGACGGCGATTCACCACGTTAGCCGTGCCATTTATGTCATTGTGAAAACCGCGGGTGAAAAGTGTTGTACGTCATATTTCTCCAACGATGTGAAACTCTATGAAGATGTGTTTTACGCCCTGCGTTTGTGGCAGCGTAGTGCCAAATACCGCCGTGAATGGGAAGTCCGCTATTGTCTGCTGCTATGGCTCTCAAACCTCGTACTTGTTCCGTTTTCACTGAGTATCATTGACTCCACAGATCGTGGCGGATCCCTCTCCGACGCCGTACTTGAGACGGCAATGGCGTTTTTGAGTGACACTTCCAAGTGTCGTGAGGGGGCGGCTCTTCTTGTTGCTCGGCTCCTTACAAGGCCGGACGGAGAGGCGCATCGTAGGCGTTTCTTTGCGTACGCCAGAGAAGTGATTACAGACATCTCCAAGAGCAGTTTCCCGTTACACGGTGTGCTTCTGGCCCTTGCAAAGACGCTAAAATGTGGGCAACGCCGTGAATTGGCGCCCTACGCCCCGGGGCTTATCCCAATCGTCGCTGGTGTGCTGGAGTCCCGCAGTAGTGATGCGTTGGTGTGCAAAGCAGCCGTAAAGGTGGAACAGCGGCTGGCACTCGTCTTGTTGAGGGGCCGTTCTGCCCCGTGGAAGTACCAAAGACATGTGACGTCTCTCGACAAAAATTTGGCTGTCTCTACGCCTTTAGACGTTGCTGCGGATGTGAATTCCTCAATTGGGGCCCATCGGACCGTTGACAATGGCAACCACAATAATAATAATAATAATAATAATGGTAATAATAATAGCAATAATAATGGGGAAAAGGATGTCGAAAATGAGAATGATGAATGTGCGGTTGAGAATGACGAGGGATTAGAAGAGGCCATTGGACTGATGCTTGTGAATCTGAGCCACAAGGACACGGTTGTGCGTTGGAGTGCAGCAAAGGGCATTGGCCGCATATGTGAACGGCTACCGCGAGTAATGGCAGAAGACGTGATTGTTGCCGTATTGGATGTGTTCACGAATGAACATTCTGACAGCAGTTGGCATGGTGGGTTGCTTGCTGTGGCGGAGTTGTGTCGAAGGAGCATCTTACACCCGCAGCACCTTCCTACAATGCTCCCACGGATCACTCAGGGACTTGCGTTTGATTTGATTAAGGGAACATATAGCGTCGGCTCGCATGTACGTGACGCCGCGTGTTACGCTTGCTGGTCCATCGCTCGCGCGTATGATGCATCAGACATTGAGGTGCACGTGCATAAACTCAGCACCAGCCTCGTTGTTACTTCTCTATTTGACAGAGAAGTTCACGTCCGGCGAGCGGCGGCGGCGGCCTTCCAGGAATGTGTTGGACGGCTCGGAAATTTTCCTGATGGTATTCGCCTTGTCACGACGATGGATTTCTTCTCTCTTGCATCACTGCAGAACGCGTATTTGCACGTTGCCCCATTGGTAGCAGAGAACGAGTCCTACAGGGAGCGCATGCTGGAGGAACTTGTAGCGAACAAACTAATGCATTGGGATCGACGTGTGCGTTGCTGTGCCGCACGTGCCTTGGGCCTTCTGGCCACGTCAGAGGTGAACACGGCCATTCGTGAAATTGTGCCGGAGCTTTTACGTCGTGTGACCGAGAACTCGGTCGCCACGCGTCACGGTGCCATCCTCGGCTTAGCGGAAATGATAGAGGGGTTTGACGCCTCTGTGTGGCCGGAAGACGTTCTCTCCCAGTTTGCGTCTCTGACGCCCCGCGTGGATGCCGCGCGTTTGTTCCGCTCACGCGGTGGTGAGTACGTCCGGCAGGCCTGTTGCCGCCTGCTCGCTGCTCTTGCCCATCGCCGCTTGAATCTGCCGGAGACCATTGAGGTGCAGAAAGTGGGGGGTGCTGTTGCCCGTGCCAAAACGTTGGGTAAACTGCAAGAATTTTTTGAAGACACATGGAAGCAAATTCTTGAGTGGTTGCAGTTTGATGCAGTTGACGCGTACGAATCTTTTGCGGCGACGTATTACACAGAGTTTATTGCCCCCTTTCACCACAAGGTGTTGGAGAGGATGTTGGACGGCAGCGGGGAGGAACGCAACCCGATGGAACGCCGTGGGAACCTTCTCGCTATGGGCGCACTGCCGTGGAGCGTTATTTGTGCTGTGCCATCATCAACAACAACAGAGGAAGAGGAGAGGGAGGAAGGGAGGAGGGCGTACTTTTTGATGCTTCTTCATGCTGCAATGAAGGGCACCAGGCCAGAAAAGCGTAAGGAATTGCAGGACGCGGAGTCGCGCCGTAACGCCGTGCGTTCGTTGAGAAAAATCCTACTCCGTATTCCTCCGGGGTGTTTGCAGTTAACCTCCGAGTTGTATGAATGCGTTGTGCAATGTATCCTCAATGCCTTGGACGACTACGCTGCGGACCGTCGCGGTGATGTTGGTTCCTTTGTGCGTCTTGAGGCCATTGATGCTCTGCCGGCGGTTGTGCAGTATGGAATGCAGTGTGGCCTTTGTAGCCCGCTGCTGACGCTTCGTGCGGCGCAGGGGCTTCTAAAACAATCCATGGAGAAGTTAGATCGACTCCGTGGGCGGGCAGTACTCAGTTTGTCAAGGCTTTCTCCCTTTCTCGACGACATAGCCGACGAAGAGAAGGCATCTGCCATCTCGGTACTATGCAATGTCCTCAGCGAAAACAAGACGGCCGAATGGTCCTTACCACAGGTTGCCTTCATGACGTTGGCGTGCCCCCTGTTGCAAACGGATTTGTTCGCACCATGTGTGGTAGAGGGCCTTGCGGTCTCCGCCGGGTCGCTCTCTCTGCATATCATGCAACCCGCGGTGAATGCATTTTTGCACGGCTTTCGGGTCTCATTGGAAAATCGAGTGTTTCTTTCGCACGTGTTAATTGAGGTTGCAGCGAAGTATGCACACAACGAGCGAGTCGTGGTGCCCTTGTGCGTCACGATTAACCGGCTCATGACTGTTGGGGTCTTTGACGAGTCGTGTCACATGGACGTGGTGGAGATTCTTCGAAATGAATTGAAGCACTATGCCACCAGTATTCACGTCCTTTTACCACTCGTTGGCGTGCTCGGGGATCTCTGTCGTAGCAGCGTGCCCGAGGCTCGTGAGGCGGCGTGGGGCCTCAGCCTTGTGATGATCGCGAGCCGCTACCCCAAAGTGCGGGCGAAGATGGCCACCGACATGTATACAGCCCTGCTTGTCTTCACTTCCGCCGAGGCGTCGGATGGATGTGCCAAAGCGATGCAGCACCTTTCAGCGACGCAGTGGGACGCCAACGAGGTGGCGAAAGTCCGTGGCGCGCGTGACGCGTTGTACTGCATGTTGAACATATCCCCTCCCTCCAAGCTTGCCGAGGGTGACGAGGTGCAGCAGCAGCAGCAGAAGAAGAAGGAGGGCCGGATGGTGGCGGGCTCATACCTTTACCTCGTGCAGGAGGCAGGGTACTAACAAGAGAAAAACAACGGCTCCCGCACGTGTCGATGTGTATGTGTGCGTTCCCCCCTCCCACCGTGGTTGTTGAACGTGGGGAAAAACACAGACACACAAATGCACGCAAAAAGGAAATACAATAGAATGGATTGCGTGGACGGAGGGAAAGGGAAGAGGAAAGTGAACACGAATTGGTTTAGAAGTTTTCAATTTTTAAGAGAGGGGTGAGAAGACTTGCAGACACAGAAACATAACGATAAGAAACAACGAACGAAAAAGAAGGGGGTTATGAGGCCGCTGTCTTCCTCCCTCTCCCTCCTCATTTTTTTGGATTTTGGCTGCCGCTAATTTTATTTCTTTCTTTGTTGTTTTTCTTGTTGTTTATTTTAGAGGGCCAGGTCAGATGGCCACCAACGAAGGCAACGTCGTTCAGGCCTTACAGGAGCAGAAACACTACGACGCGTTTCACTGGGTGTTGCCGGGCAGCGAGTTCATTGCTGCAAATGACATCACGGATTACTTCATGATTTACCTCCGCGCGATTGGCGGATGGTGCATGCGGCGCGATGCGTACAATTACGAGGACGAGGAAAAGGGAGGAAGAGGAGGAGAAACATTAGAAGAAGAGAATGGGAAGATAAACATGGATATGGATCCCATCGGTGAAACACAAAAGCAGAATGGCTGCGGTGGGGCGGAAACACTTTTCGTGACATTGCAGATGCTGCACATGGAGCAGCCGGTCACACCAGTGCTGCAATCCTCTCATACACGCGGTGACGCCTGCATATTTGATGAGTGGGTCATATTCCCCATTTCCGTCCGTGATATGCCGCTTGACGCAGTGGTTCGGTGCTGTGTCTACTCCCGTCACGGTCTTGTAGGCTGCACAGCGTTTCACCCCTTTACAGCAAGTGGAAGGCTCAAGGCAGGACCACGGTGTTACAAACTGCACGCTGAAGGCTCTGCAGGTCCACAAAAAAAGGAAACGCCGCGGTGGGAGCTGCTTGCGCGGGATCTTCACGATGGTCTTCTGCAGCCGGTGCCGTGGATGGACAAAATTGTCGAGCGGCGTCTTGCGGAGATGCGGGAAGTGCAGGAGTATGAGGGCAGCGCACGGATTGTCGCAGGGGATGCATCACCAACGCTCTCATTGCTGTTTCCGCAAGTGCGCAGTCGCGTCCCGGTCTTCCTACTCTCTGTGCCGCTGAACATGATTCCCACAACGTTGCCGACCACCCCTCTTGCGGCGACGCCAACGCGGCCGTACCTTGATATATGTATGGGTGACGAAAACCTCTGTGAAGCGAAGGCGCATGCCTTGTCCAAATCCCTGTTTTTGATCTCAGACGCTGATGCAGACGTCCACCCAGGCCTCTTGGAGCGTCGTCAGCTGCAAGAAATTATGCGTAAGCCTTTGATTCACTTAGAAGGACTCAAGGTTGACGATGAAATGCTTCTTTGGCGGTTTCGCTTCTTTCTTGCCCGTGATCCCGCATACTTTTTGCTCTTTATGCGCTGCGTGAATTGGAAAAACGAGGCAGAACAGCAGGAAGCCCTCAAAGTGATGCAGCAATGGA